TACTTTGAGAAGAACAAATGTCTCGGACCTCGAGTTCTTGAAGACTCATCCATGGCTGCCATTAAAACAGCTGTTCCAATTGACTACACACTGATCAAAACCACTGTTTTCAATATATTGAAGGTAATATATCAAGCTGTTGTATGATCACTGAAGCAAATCATCTAAAAAAGAGATATTTAAAAAAAAAGAGAGAGAGAGAGAGAGAAAGGACTCAAAGCAGCGTAATAAACCCCAGATTGGCTCCATCTTTCAGAAATGTACTTTAGAAAAATGCCTACAGGTGTATTGTGTTCAGAGGGAAACAGAGAATTCAGCAGTGTGGACAGGTGTCTATTTCAACCATATGGCTGTCAAATTATAAATAGTTAAATTCAAATGACCAGCTACAATTACAGAGAATGAAGTTCAAGGGGATGCCCTCTCCTCTTGCAACATGGATGAGAAACCATTTGGGGTTTAAGCTGCTCATTATCTTGAAATCATTCTTCCATGTCTTCACCTGCCATGATGCCTTTTCATGTCTTTTTCCTGTCCATTTTTGCAACCCTTCAAAGTGCCCCGAATGTATTTCCTGTGATCAGAAAATGAGTCATTATTGCTCAAAGTATTATGTCCATTCATGTGAAATGCAGCACTGGAGGAGAGTTCTGCAAATGCCATGGACAGCCCAAAAAGTCAAATAAGTGGATGCAAGAGCAAATCAAGGCTGAACTTTCCCTAGAAGCCAAAATGACTAAACTGAGACTGTAGTCCTTGGGACACATCGTGAGAAGATATAACTCATTAGAAAAGACAATTATGCTTGGTAAGAAAGAAGGCAGTAGAAAGGAAGGAAGACTGCATTATGGGTGGATAGACTCAACCAAAGAACTCACAGCGTCCATGAGTTTGCAAGACCTGAGCAGGGAATCAGGGATTTTGGAGGTCTCTCCTTCATAGGGTTGACATAAGCTGAAGTTGACTTGAAGGCAACAAACCACACATTCTGTCCATGAATGGGATGCAGCATTTCATAGAGGCTTGGTCTTCTAGATAACCCTTGGTGTCCATAAGATGCTAGTTTTATTTTTCTCCCTCTATGTTACCTGTTGAAGTGTTGTATGTGGAACTCAGCTTTTACAAATGTATGACTGACTTAATAGACTGATTGGGACAGTTTTGTATCAAACTTTCTGGCAGGGTTCCTAATGTAGACCTGAGGCAGGTTTTCTTCTAGGCCTAGAAAAAGGAAGGAGTAGAGGCTATGGAGATGAAATTGTTCTCAGGCATACCTCTCATAATGCAGAATGATGTAACCCTCTTTGGTGGTGGAATCATGACAGTGTTGGATTGTAACCCCATACCCACCAACATTTCACAAATGAAAACTGGAACACATGTGGCCAAGCAGTATAGAGGTGTAGTCAAGATGGCAAAAGCTATTACTGAGTAAGAACACATAAGCTAGGAGGATCTGCAGCAGTTTACTTTTGCCTGAGCCTACTGGGAAGAGTATGCCCCTTACTCTGTTTCTGATTCTCCATATATGCAAACATCCTCCTTCTATACACATTAATTGGATCCATGCAGTAAGCAGAGTTCCACCATCCAAAGAAGAAGATGCTTAAATTTTACATATATTCGTGTTTATTTAACTCTACCCACCCAATTTT